CTTTGCTGTTTTGGAATCGACAGTTTTTGCAGGTGTTCGATGCAGTTCATCGCGGCCCCGAGGTCCGCTTCATGCCGTTGTGTTCGCGGCGGCTCGGCTTCTTTGACATCCTGGTTGTTTGGTTGTAAAAGAGATTGGGCCTGGGATGGGTTGTACTTGTGCGTGAATTTTGTGCGTCTCCTCGGATTTCAGCCGCCTGTCGACCCCCAGTCGGCCAGAACCGAAACAACTGCGGTGGCTCAAGCTTCACCACCCTTCCCCCGTCCACCCGGAAGTCTGACATTTAAGTTTGCGACTGGTTTCCGGCAGTTCGTCGCGGCCCCGAGGTCCGTTTCATGTTTTTGTGTTCCCTGTGGGTCGGTTTCTTTGACGTCTTGGTTGTCTGGCTGTAGAAGAGATGGGAGCCTGGGATCATCATCGCCATCATCGTCACCATCATCCGCATCATCACCATCATCATCATCATCGTCATCATCATCATCACCATCAACATCATCATCATCGTCAGCGTCATCGTCATCGTCATCATCCCTGCTCCCCCTCTTCCTACTCCGCCCCCTTCGGCGGCGGGGATGGGGGGTGGAGGAGGCTCCCCTCGTTTCCCTGTTCCTTCTCCTCATTTGCCTTTTTTTCCTCCTCCACCTCCTCCTCCTCCACCTCCTCCTCCTCCTCCTCGTCCTCTTCCTCCTCCTCCTCCTCCTCTACCACCTCCTCTTCCTCCTCCTCCTCCTCCTCCTCCTCCTCCTCCTCCTCCTCCTCCTCCTCCTCCTCCTCCTCCCTCTCCTGCCCTTCCGCCTCCTCAGCCGCGCCCCCGTCTTCCCCCCCTTCTGCTAATCCTCTTCCTCCTGCTCCCTCTCTCCCTCCTCCTCGTCCTCCTTCGCCCCCTTCCCTGGGCCATCCCGCGTGGCCCGACCCGCGGCGCGGAGGGGGCACGAGCTGGCGCCCAGAAGCTCGGTCCGATGGCCAGAACCCTGCGCCGCCGGCCGGGCGGAGAGCCCGCCCCCTTGGCATCGCTCGGACGTGTGCATTTTTTCCTTCGGCGAGGGCCCCAGCGCGGATCCGAGAAATCCGCGCGGACCTCCGAGCTTTTTTTGTTTATGTGTATGCAACTTTTTGGGGCATCGCTCGGACGTGTGCATTTTTTCTCTCGGTGAGGACCATCGAGGAGCATCCTTGATCATTTGGCGAAAAAACCACGCACGAGACCGAACGAAAAAACACAGGGAATGGATGGACGTCCGAGCGATGGCCCGCCGCCCGGCCGCCGAGGTGCCGACCTCGGCCCACCCCGGGTTCGAATCCCCCGTTGAGATCCAGCGCTGCAGGTATTTTCGGGGGCAGAAAAGGAGGAGGAGGAGGAGAAGGAGGAGGAGGATGAGGCACCACGTTTGGTCGTCGCTCATGTGATCTTTCGGGGGCGGAAAAGAGGGGGGTGATGACTAGGGGTGTGTGGATATATCATGGCGGGGGCCATGAAATCTCCTCAGATTTCGTGGCGCCTCTTCTTGTTTCATTGAGTCCCTGGCCCCCCCGCTGGGCCGCGCACGTGCCGCCGGTCATGATCTGCACACACCCCTCTTGGACACCCCCCGCTTGGCCGCTCCCGAAGGTATTTGATATCGGGCGTTCTCGCCCAGTTTCGGGCCCCAGGGCCATCACGTATCGATCCAGCTTGACACCTGCAGCAAAAAGGTGGGGGCTGCGGTCGGTTCGGGGAGGGTGCCCCAAGGTTCTTCGTGTTGTTTTTGTTGATGTGTTTGCGCATCCTGGGGGAGGGAACCCTCGAATGTTCATCGGTTTGGGCCGGCGGAGGGCCTCATGTTCTTGAGGGATATTTTCTGTCCTAGGTCAGAATGTAGGGCTGCGGTCGTGACAGACATTCCTCAGGATGAGATGTTTTGTTGTTTGCCCTCTGGGCCATAACGCGCGTTATGCCCTTAATTACCCTCCCCCCCTCATAATGTGACGCTCCCCTCCTCAGTGCGTCCCCGGCACTGCCGCAGTGCGTCTAGCACCACAGTCTGGGGGCGGGGGGGGCGCTACGTGATGCCCCCTCCCATCCCCCCTCCATCCCCCCTTTCCGCCTCACCCCTCTTCCACCCCCCCGTCTCCCCCCTCCTCCCCCTCCCCCCTCCCGTCCCCCCCCCCCTCCCCCCTCCGCCCCCCCCTTCCCCATAACGCCCGTGATGGCCGCGATTGCTCGAGGGCCTCGGAGGCCTCTCGCCGCCGCGGCTGGACGCCCGTCGGAGTGCTGGTCACCCCACGCGCTTCGGGACAGGTCCGGGGGCCGGTCGTTGAGGAGGAGGACGGAGGGACGGAGGGAGGGAGGGAGGGAGGGAGGAGGAGGAGGAAACGAAGGAGGAAACGGAGGAGGAGGAGGAGGAGGAGGAGGAGGAGCGTTTTTCTCCCTCGGAGGCCTCGCGTCGAGCGTTTTTCTCCCTCGGAGGCTTCTTGTCGCCGCGGCTGGATGGATGTCGCTCCGAGAGACGAATCGGAGCCTCTTCTGGCGCCGCCAGGAGGGGCTTCCTGTCCACACGGCTGGCTCCGCCTCGAGCAAAGTGTGATGGTGGACTCCGGCCGAAGGCCGACTTTGAGCTCCGCCTCCTCCTTCTGCTCCTGCTCCTGCTCCCTCCCTCCCCCCTCCCTCCCTCCCATCTCTACCTCCCTCCCTCCCATCCTTACAGTCGGGGCCCTGAAGAAGGAACCCTTTTTGTTGGGGAGGGGCTCCACGTTCCTTAAGTGTTTCACAGCTTGCCTCAGGCTTTCCTTCTGTTTTCGACAGGAAATCGAAGGTTAACTTATGGAAAAAAGGGGCCTTGTTCCTTATTTAGGGTTCCTTAGGTCAACGCCCCGACTGTACCTCCCTCCCTCCCTGCCTCCCTCCCTCCCCCCTCCCCATGCAGAGGCACGACGGACCGCCGAGAGGAGCCCTCTGGGCTCGGCGGGGGAGCCGCCGTGGTCTCGGCTGGCCCTCTTATACGAGACGATCCGATGCGGCCCGCCGCCCGCACGGCGCTGCTGTGCACGCTGGCGCGGCCGGTCCGGTTCGGTTCCGACTCTGTGCCGGTCCGATTCGATTCCGGATCCGCGCCGATGCGGCCTGGCTCGATGTCTGTTTCGATCAAATCTCACCACCTACCAAACCACCCCAACCCAACCCGAAGGCTCAGATTTACCCTCGATTTCTAGTGGGGGGGGGTCTGGGAACATCGCAAAAACAGATGTGGAGCCCATACCCCCCCCCAGCCCGAAATTCGGGTCTTCGGGTTGGGCTGGGGTGGTCTGGTAGGTAGTCCGGATCCGCGCCGCTGCGGCCTGGCCCGATGTCTGTTTCGATCAAGTCCGATGTACCAGTTCAACATGGGTCGCACACGCCCCTCACGAGCCGCGGTCGTATCGATGTCCGCGCCCTCGCGGCCCGGATTCTGGGGCGCGGTCCCGTGGGTACGCGTGGGTCCGGATGCGCTCCGGGCGGGGCACAGGCGCGAACACCAGCGGCCTGTGTCCACGGGGTCGCGGCCAAGGGGCCTGGCCCGCGAGGCCGTGGATGCGGATACAGTCAACGCGCATAGTAAGGACAAACTATTTTTTCAAGGATACCTTTGGGTCCTTGCCTGCCTCAGCCTCTGCGGCCCGTCCCTAGCAATTTTCGCAGGCCAGTTTCTCAGGTTCCCTGGGGGTTTGGCCGCCTGCCGCCCAGAATACTTCAACTTCGGCATCCAAGGGTCTTGCGTCCTTACCACGCGTCCTTACTATACGGTTTCACTGTACTTCGGTAGCAAATCGTGGGAGCCTGGTGTACCCTCTTAATTCCGTCTTTTGCGTGGATTAGCGTCGAGTGGCGTTGGGGAGTCGATGAGATAGCGCCGCTTTGGCGTCCGCGAGGGTCGATTGGCGTCGATTTAGCGTCGATTATCGTCGATTTAGCGTCGATTCGCAAGAGCCGACAAGATGGTGCGGGAGGCTGCCATGAGTTGCCACCGAAGGATACGTGTTCCGCCCACGAGCCCCCCTTTCGCCGTTGCCGCCTCGGCGTTGTTCGAGTGGGCGATCGTCTACAGAATTGATTTGCTCCAGAATTTCTGTTTCTTCTGATCTTCACGTGTACAGTGGGGGCCCATGCCAAAAAACACCCTGCTTGCCTCCAGGGTGCCCTGGGTTTCTCGGGTTTCGATGGATTTGCTGTGGAAGGCGGAGCGTTCCCACACCAAGAATCAATGGACGCCTGGGGTCTCAGGGTTGGATTTCTTGTGGAAGGTTTCTTGTGGATCGACCCCCACTGCATCAACAAAAACTACGAACATCGTACGGATTTAATAATTTGGGGTCAATCAGTTGTGCAGTCGATGTCCTACTCGAGTTGTCGCCGATGCTTACTCGAGCAGCGACCCACCCCCCTGAGATCCTTGGCCCTCACAGGTGGATCTGGCTCGAACAGTGTTGCAGAGCGATGGGGTGCAGGGCTCCAGTCTCAAGTCGGGCCTGTCCCTCTACAGCGGGAATATTCAAAAATCCCAAAAGGATAGTCTTGGGACGATTTGTTTTACATTATATTCTTTTGAACATTTTTGGACTATTTATTTTTCCTTCTGAATCCGCCTGTAGGAGGATGTGCCCGATCTAACTCCAGTCGTGGTTTCCATCGGCGTTGTTGAGCTTGCTTGTTTTGGCTGCGCTGTCCTTGGGCTGGGGAATCAAAATGAAGCGAATCAGACAACAGCTTGGTAAACCTAGTTTCTCGGAGGCTCGCGCGGAGTTCTTTGATCGGCGTGGGTCCTCGCGCCAGTGAGGGGGTTCCAGCCCCGATCCAACAAATCCGCGCGGTTCTCCGAAAGTCTGTGTTTCTGGAGCGGTTCTTGTTCTTCGAAGCTCCTTGCCAAGGACGACTCCCTGTGGAACTTGCCTGGACGCCGACGGCGCCGATCCAAAAAGCCTGCGCGGAGCTCCAAAAGTCTAAGCTCCTTGGGAGCTGCCTTTGTCTTTCGAAGCCCGCTGCCAAGGACGACTCCCTGTGGACGTTCCTGGACGCCGACATCGCCACGGCCGTCGTGCCCCGGTTCCTGTGCCGGCCGCAGGCGCCAGCGCGGCGGCCACCGAGCAGGGTCGGCTGGCTATTTTTCGGGGGCCACATGTGAACCCTACCCCTACCCCCCACGATTTCTGAGGGGGAGGGTGGGGTTCACTTCGTTCGGAAGCTCCCGAGCGAAGTGAACCCCACCCTCCCCCTCAGAAATCGTGGGGGGTAGGGGTAGGGTTCACATGTGGCCCCCTAAACTTGCGGGCAATACTTTTGTCCATTGTCCATATCCACTGCAGCCTGGAGTTTCGGGCTCCCCTCCCCAGACACCCGAGTCGCACTTCGTGTGGATGAGTTTGTCCGCTAGAGTCTCGAGTTTTATCCGTATCCAGTGCGCCTCGGCCTCGTGGCGCCCCTTCCAAGAGAGTCCAAGACGCGCTTGCGGACATAGATCTTGCCCGCATCATTGGCCAGATCTCAGGGAAGGAACATGTACATATACTGCTGCTCGTCCTGGAGAGCGCTCGTCGCCTTTTTTGGCCCTCGTTCCCTTGCTTTCGCCTTTCTGGGCCTCCTTGGAGTCCCTCGTCGCCACGGCTGGATTCGCCTCGAAATCTTAGTCAGAACGCACTCCAGGAGAGGTCCGGGAAGTAGCGGATTGGTATCCTCAGTGTTCTACAACAGATTCTACAGGCTTACACCACATTCGCCGACCACCCTAAGTGTAGAGTGTTTCCGAAGGTTTTTGGGGGGCGTCCAGGGTGCTGGTGATGTAGATGAAAGCGAGAGGGTGGCCTCTGGGGTGTCTTGGGCGTCTTGCAAGACGACCTTGCAGTGTCCAACTTGCTTCACGAGGCAGAGGCAGAGTCCAGCGAAAAGCCCTTCTTGGCAGAAGGTTTGTCCTCCATCCGTGCAAGTGGTTCGCATGTTCAAAGCCACGATCGTAAAAATTGAAGGATTCTCCAGCCAGAGCTTCATCAAACATAGCCGAGCTCCTTCCGTGCGACTGATGCTGGCCTTCTTGTTCACTTCCGAAATTCTAGCCATGCCATTGGACGAAGGCTCCAGCGGGAGCTTCATTTTTCCAAAGGGGGGGAACCACCCGGGCCCGACAATTGGCGCTTATTAAACGGCCTTGGGCGTTTACTCAACAGCCCTGCCCTGTTCGATTCCTGCTGTGGGTGCGTTTACTAAACGGCTTCGCGCGTCGGGGTGATCATTATGGAGGTCGATATTTCGCCCTCTAATTTTGAAGATGGATTGCCGTCCACCCGTGTAACCGGTAGACTGTGCAAGACGATTGTGCGCGTCTCCGAGGCGAGAGGCTCGCAGCTGGAAGGCATGCCGCCCTCCGTCCGTGTGGTGCTTCAGGGCGACGAGATCTATACGTAGCTCGGCGGCGAGCGAGGGGGGGAAGCGAACCAGAGCAGGCCTTCGCCGAAGGCGGCGGGACTCCTCAGAGGCCCTCGCGCCTTCTGAGGTTTCTTTTGTGTGCTTCTGTCCTCGGGGAAGGCTTGGGAGGAGCGGCGGCGGCGACGACGACGACGACGACGGGTCGCCCACCCTCGAGCTGCGAAGGGTTTGGGGGGTCCGCTCTTTGGAGGGGCACGGGGGTCAAGAATCAGGGGTGGACAGAACCCCCTTTAGTGACACGTCGATTGGTGAATTGTCCGTTCTCGGTTCTCGAGAGGGCGCCGTGGCCGTTGTTTTCCAGGCTTGCGCCCGCCAGGTTTGGGCCTCAGGTCGTTTTCACTAAACCACGCTTTACTAAAGGGGGGTCTGTCCATCCCCGAAAGAAGTCCAGGCCCGGACCTCAGGTCCGGACCTCAGGTCCGGACCCCAGGTCCGGGCCCCAGGCCCGGGCCTCAGGTCGGGAGGCCTGACAACGGCTCGCCGAGGCCTTCCGTCGGGGGGCCGCCTCCGAGTTTTGTGTGTGGGGGGGGGAGCCTCTTGGGCCCTCTGGGAGCGCCCTGGCGGAGCTCTCTTGGGCCGGTTCGTTGGGGTCCTCACAGGGCCCCCACGGATGCTCCGATGCACCCCTCTGTTGTAGCACCCGTCGGGGGGCGTTTCGGAGCTTTCTGGGGAGCCTCTGGGGGCCCCTGGAGCCCTCTAAGTCCGTCCTGGAGCCCTCGTGGAGCCGTCGGCCGCTGGAAGTCTACGGAGCCCGTCCTGGGGCCTGGGCCGTCCTGGAGGCCTCTTGGGCAGGCCAGTTCGGTTCCACCGCTTCGGGTTGACTGTTCGGGCCAGTTTCGATGGACCAGTTCGGTTCGAATCGGCCGGTTCTGTTTCAGCCGGTCTGGTTTTGGCTCCGGTTTTGCCGGTTCGGTTGCAGGAGCCGCCGGTTCACGGTTACCAGTCCGGTTCAAACGCTTCTTGTCTTTAATGTTGCCTGTGCCGAGCGCGGCCTCTTCTGGTCCTCCCACCCCAATGCCATATTCCGCCATCCCGTCCCTGTTGCGCTGCCGTGCGGGGGTGTGGTGGAGAAAGTGAGCCGGGAAAAGCGGGGGACGGGGGATTCCAGGAAGACGAGCGGAGGGAGGTGAAGGTTCGGGATTTCGTTGTTGCTGTTATCCCGGGAATTTCATAAAGTGAGGAAGGCAAAGTAGTTGTAGGAGAAGAAGATGCAGTTGTGGATGAAGGCGCGGGCTGGAGTTGCCTGGCACTGCCCTGCTTTGTAGACGGGGAAGTCGCCGCTGTCGTGCCGTGTGGTTGCTGGTGCTGCTGCCAGGGTGGCAGCGAGTGCGCAGTGGAGTGGTGGAAAGCGCGGGAGTTGTGGAGCAGGCGGGAGCCAGTTGAGTGTGGCTGTGCCGTCGTGGAGCAGAACTGGTGGGGGCGTGGGAGCGCTGCGCCCCGCGAGGGCGGCTGCAGCGTAAGAAGTCTGTGAGGAGGGAAAGAAACACACGGACACAATTCATCGTCGACCCCCAGGAAAATATACAAAAATTATGGGAAGTGGGGGGGAAGACAAAAACCAAACAAAGATTGGAAAATATGGGGAATCTGTTTATCTGTGTGTATTTATTTGTGTGTCCTGGGGCCCCCTTCAGTCTGACGCTAGGAGAGGAGGCATGGATGCTGTTGCTCCTCGCGGCGGGGGCGGCCCGTGCCACGGGCCGTGCGGGCAGCACAGGGCGGGGGCTCGTGTGGTGTGCTGGAGGGAGCGCCGCTGGGTCGAGCCGTGTGGGTGGGACTCGTGCGTCGTGCTCTTTTGCACTGCTGCTGCTGCTTTTGCTTCTCCTCTTGCTCTCCCCCCCCTTGCTGCTCTCCTCTCTCCTCCTTAGCCACGGGGCGACCTTCTCGCGCAGGTAAAAAAGAAAAAAGTGCGTCGGCTGCACGTAGGAGTGGCCCTTCGCCGGAGTGACCTCTGGTGCCGGCCCAGAGGGGGGGTCGAGTGCTTTTTTCGGCTACACGTAAGAGTGACCTCTCGCCGGAGTGACCTCTGGTGCGGGCACAATGGGGCCCCCCGATCACCGCTTGCGATGCGATGGTACCCTCTTGCGCGCTCGTGCTTGGTCCCCCCGCGGTCCCAAAAAGCCGCGCACCAAAGGTCACCCTTACCCAGGGTCACTCTTGCGCGTAGCCGATTTTTCTTATGGCATGAACTTGACCTCGCGTCGGCACTCGCATCGCGTGATTACGCTCCCACTTGGGCGCGCCAGGTTTGGGCCCACCCCTTGCAATCGACAGCGACGCCTGCGCGTCGCACCCGACAGCTTGCATCGGTTACCCGAGGGGGGGCTGGTCGACCAGACGGCGATCTTTCCGGCCCAGGGCCAGTCCCGAAATCCAGCCCAAATCCCCAAACTTCTGGTTTGAATATTTTTGGATATCTTTCGGATAAATTTGAATATATATATATATATATATATATATATATATATCTTGAATACCTTTGACTATGTTTAAGTATGTGTTTCGAACCACTGGGGATCTTCACTAGTATAAGTTACCCGAATAGATCCAAACGTATTCCAGACACTCGGATGCGGCCGGTTTTGGCCACGACGCTGGGCCTGGTCAGACGTCATCGCGACGCAGCTCGGCAGTGCCAGACCTCATCTCGGCGGCCCCCGGCAGCGTCTGTTTTCGCAGCGACTTCGAAGTGCCATTCGGGGCGCTCGAATTCAATCGGCGGAATTCCGCGGTTGCCCGCTGGCACGAAAAATCTGTCGATTGGCGCCCCGCCGATCGTTGATGCGGCGCGGCAGCGCCGGCTGGCGCGATTGCGTTTGGCCCCCACGGGCGACCCTGAAGCCGCGCACCAAAGGTCACTCCAGTCTAGGGTCACTCATGCGTGTAGTCGACTGGGGTTGGTCGTAGTTGCCGTCGCTTGATCCTGTTTCCGCAGTTGGCCTGCTGTGGGCCTCGTTCTGGTTGATCCGACGGTGGGTGGTTTTTTCGTGGTAAAATGTTTCACACATGATATTGTGAACTATCCTAAGATACTCGTCCGGGTCTTCCGTGTCCATGGCGAGGCGGAGGTTAGCGATGGTGTCGGTGATATTGGCGACGTACGTTTCGTCTTTGATCATGCGGCTTGGGTCCATTCCCTCGATGTGGCGGCGCGCGAGTCAGGGTCCTGGCCGTGTTCGTGTGCTTGGTGCATGACGTCGTCCGTCCTCCGTTCGCCTCATGCCCAGTAGCCCGTAAGTGTCCATTCCCTCAGGCTGGGTGGCGGCTGGATCCAGGTGATCTGGATGTTTTCGGTGGGCGGTGAGGCGTATGTCCTTGTGCTTGTCCTCTGGAATCCAGTTAGTGTAATCCCTGCAGACCTGGTTGACGTCGCTGTTTGGGTGGGCCAAAGCCGACCCGAACAAAAATATCGTGACGGGGGAGCACCCCTCTTGTGTCGCAGTTAGTGCCTGTTGTTGGGTGGGTGAACTTGCGCTTCCCTGGTCGTTAGTCGGATTGAGATCGTCCTGGCTGATGGTGCTCGTCTGCTCTGTGTCCGCCTGCTTGTCGTAGCAGCTCTTGCCGTCACGGCTGTTTTGGCGACCGGGTAGTACCTTGGTAGGGTTGGTCGGTGTCGGCGTCCTGGGCCGCAGCCTCGGCGTGAGC